GCTCCCCCTCTGCCTCCCGATCGGCGGCGAGTCCGGGGGGGGAGTGAGAAGGGGCGGGCCTTCGCAGAGGGTTCGGAAGTCCTCGGGCCTCCTGAGAAGTGTTCTGAGCCTTCCCCGAAGACGCAGGAATCTTCTCGGAAGGTCAGGGGGCTCCTGAGAAGCCACGCCGCCTTCCGAGAAGGCCTTCTTCCTCTCTCTTCCCCCCGCGTCCGCCGCCGAGCACCGCACCGCCTCGAGAAGGCGATGCCCTGGACGTGCTCGCGCCGCAGAGCAGGCAGGACGCGAGGGTCCTCGCCCTTGGCCCGCGCGCTTCGCCGCTGCTCGGGCCCCCGGGGTGCTTCCCGGCAGCTGCGGGTGGCCGAGGGCGCTCTTCGCGGGTGGACAGTCTGACCTCCTACACCTTAGGCGATGCTTAAGAAAACTTAAATTTTCGGCCAGGGTCTCGATTATTCTTAATGTTTCAACGTAAATCCTAAGATTTTAATAGAAGTTTTGGGTTTTTATTCAAGTTCTGAGACTATGAATTTCTTAACCCATGATTTCTTAAGCATTTCGCAGGGTGTACCCTGACAAGTCGATTAAGGAGTTTGCCGTTTTCGGTTCGCGAGAGGGCGTCGCGGCCGTCATTTTTGCGGGTGCAGGTCTGTCGGTTTCGGTCCCAGGCCGAGGTCACTAAGGGGAGGTTTACGAAAGGTAGGTTTGTCCACCGCCGAGTTCTGGGGGGGCCCGGATCGTCCGGAATGGACGCCGGACTCCCGAGTTGCGTCCCAAAATTGGGTGTTCGCTAGGGGAGCAAAAGGTGTCATACACATGAAGACTCGGAGGTCCGCGCGGATTTCTCGGAGCGGCGTTGGACCGCGGCGCCGGAGGCGCCGCCAGGGGGGCCCAGCGCCGATCCGAGAAATCCGCGCGGACCTCCGAGTTTTTATGTTTGTGTCACTTTTTGCTTCCCTAGTCAATGGGGGGTGTTGCGAGGGCTGCGAGGAGGAGGAGGAGGAGGAGGAGGAGGAGGAGGAGGAGGAGGACCCCCCCACTCCAACTCAGGGTGGTGGTGGTGGAAAGCACGCCCATCAGCCCCCCATCGAGCGACGCCAAGCAAAACCCCTTCTCCGCGCGTCGTGAAAGAATCAGGACAGGCTTTTTGTGTATAGTTTTCGGCTTCTGGGGGCCCTTCCAGGGCCCTATAGGGCCATCAGGTAACGACTCGGGACGAAAAGCCGGTCTCTGCACAAAGGGCCAGGATGTCCGCGATGTCCAGGGCTGGTTCTCCCTCTCTATCTCTCTCTCACGGGGGCCGCCATCGGCAGAGGTGGGGCACCAGTGCAGGTGCCAGCCAGGCGTGCACGAGCTCGCGAGGTGCGCCGCACATGCCACAGCCGCGCCACAGTGGGCAGCTCGTCGGCCCTCCCACCGTTCCTCGGGTCGGGCGAAAGGGGGGGGGTGCGAAAGGGAGGGTTACGAAATCTGCTGCATGCAGCTGGTTTCGGCCCCGCCGCCGGGCCCATTCCTCGATACATGGGCGCCTTCCAGCGCCGGGCAACGCCGGGGAAATCAGCTAATTACGCAAGCTGATTCTCAAGCCCCCCCTTTGCTCCCCCCCCCCCTTTCGCCTGGCCCGAGTTCCGCCCCGGCCGACGGCCACTACACGGTGCCGGCGGGGTCTGCGCTGCGTGCGGGCGGGCGTGCGCCCGCGAGCGTTCGGGCAGGGGAGTCGTGCGCGCCTATATGACGCGCGGCAGGCGGCATGCCGCCCGCCCCTCCTCGCCGTCCCCGGCACTATACTTAGGATGTTCCAACCTACAGTGCCGTTTTTCATACCTGCTCCGCGTGCGGATCCTGCATTACAAATGCAGGGATTTCAGTATTCAAAACAACGATGAGTTCATGCATAAATCTTTTCATCAATAGTCATGTAGCAAAAATCACATATATATAAACATCCTGTGTATTAAAAGCTGCCCTGTACTTCAGCCTTGGTCACCAGAAATAATTTCGAGCGCCAGGAGAAAGAGTCCCGAAGCTCCAGGGTTTTCACGTGTCGAGCCCTGGGGGACACTTGCCCGGCATTGCTTCGACACTTGTTTGACATTATTTTGTCACTCTTCTGGGTGCTCGAAAGTATTTCTGGGATGTGGTTCTTAAGTAGGATGGGAACAACATAACACAATGACTGTGTGCTTTGGTACTTTTGGAGGGGCTGGTGGGCCTGCACACGGCTGGCAGCCAGGGCGCCCTCGAGGTCTCGAAGTTCTCTTTGCTTCGCTGTTCGGCTCCGACTCCTCCTCATGCTCCTCTTCCCCCCTGGGAGGCGGCGCGAGAGCGCGAAGTTATTCGCACTTCGCGCAGCGCGAAGCGCGAAGTTGGGAGCCCTTGTGGTAACATGCTGGCCCCCCCGCCATCCCAGGGGCGTTAATTGATTACGGATAGGAAACAGTGGTAAGCCCCGCCCCAAGTGGATAGAAGGGGCACTGGAAGAGGAAACTCGCTGAAACTCGCTGAACCACTCATGCCCTGAAGGGCTGGCGGGATGTCGCTTAGCCCCGCTTCATCCGGTCGATTCCTGCGTCGGATCCTGGCGAATCAGGTGTCCTGGCCCCTTCATTTCTGCGGAGGCCTCCCGCCCCCATTCCCTGGCCCGTCTTCTCCTGGCTCCCCTCATCTCTCTCCCTGTCGGACGGGGCCAGGACAGGGGTACATCGTTCCAGGTCGTTCTGCAGCGCTCTCAGAGCGTGCCTGAGCGCTCTGAGCAGTCCGCGGCGCTAAATGCATTCGTCAGAGCCGCCAGAGTTCAAAGGACTCCGACTTATCCCTGTCCGATCTCGTCATGGTCTTGGCTTCGCCTTACCTTCACGCGGCACGCCCCCCGCCCCACCCCCCCTGCTGTGAAGTGGAGGGCTGCTCGACGTCGCGAGCGGAGGAGCCCTCCACCGCGTGGACGGCCCTGGACGCTCGTCCGTGCAGGGGCCGTGGGGAGGCCAAGGCCAAGCGCGCAAGCCCAGAGATCCGACATCTTGGCATCTTGAATACACCGTAGACGCGCTGACGGTGATTTTGGCAACGGCGCTGTAGGGTTCGGTATTGCAGGTGGGGGTGATTCTTGGCCAACCCACTTGTAGAAAGGCCTTAGTCAGACTTTTCGACCATCTGTTGTGCGCGAGTCCGAAGCTCGGGAGAGGTCCAGGGAGTAGCGGTATCCGTATCTTTTGGACTTCCCGTGGGGCCCTCGTCTTCGATCTCCCCCACGCGCTTGCGATCAAGGCGCATAATCAGTTGGACGAGGCCAGGACGAGGATAAATCTGTTCCAGAGCGTTCCGGAACGCTCACAAAGCGTTATGGAACGCTCTGGCTCTGAGAAGGCCGGGGCGCCGGATGGCATCCTCCGGAGCCGCCGAGTCTCGGAGGTTATTCGAGTTATCCTCGTCAGACTGCATCCTCGTCCTGGCTTCGTCTTAGCTGTGGTTTTCGGGCCGTTCCTTACATCTGGGTCGGGGGCAGATTCGTGGCCGAGAGGTTCACCGTGGCCAGACCGAACAAAAAATACGTGCCGCTCCTTCTGTGGCGTCCCTCGTGGCAGCATGCTGGTTGTACCCACGTGGCCTCTTGCGATCCGAGCGCGGTCCTGAGAGGGAGGATGACGAGACGCAAGGGGCAAGGGGTGGATGAGCAGGAGGACGCTGGAAGTGACGGTGGGGGGGGGCGAAGGCAGGGTCGGGGGCAGGAGGGGGAGGAAAGGGAGGGGAAGGGGAAGGGGGGGCGAGGCAGGGTGGGGAGTGGGGTGGGGGGGGCAGGCGGAAGGGGGAGGAGGGAGTGGGGGGGGGGAAGTTGGGGGCGAGGGCATGGGGAAGGTGTGGAGTTTGGGAAGGGGGGGGGCGAGGGCGGGGGACCGGAGAGGCAGGATGGGGAGCAGCGGGAGGGGGGGGGGGGGGGCAGGGGGAGGGGCAGAGCAAGGCACAGTCCGCGGCAGGAGCGGGGGAGGAGAGGAGGGGCCAGGAGCGGGAGCGGGAGGGGGCGGGCGCAGGAGGGGGGGGCATGGAGAGGGAGCAGGAAGCGGGGGAGGAGGAGGAGGAGGAGGAGGAGGAGGAGGAGGACGAGGACGAGGACGAGGACGAGGACGAGGACGAGGACGAGGACGAGGACGAGGACGACGAGGGAGGGTGGAGACCCGTGGAGGAGATTCGGGGAGGGGGGGGGCGGGGTCGCAGTTGCATAAGTTTAAGTCGGGCTTGTCGCTCTAAAGGGGGAATATTCAGAAATAGTAAGAAAATAGTCTGGGGACGATGTTTTGAGTATTCGTTTGACTATTTTGAAGTATGTTTTGGATCTTTTATTTTTCGTCCAAGATCCCCTCTGTAGCAGGACAGGCCCGACTTCAGTATCAGTGGATCCGTTTGTGGTATGAACGATCCCCCGCTATGAGAAGCACCTGGCGGCGCATTCGGCGCCGCCCCTGGCGCGCTCCGCGCGCCAGGGAGGGGGGTCCAGCGCCGACCCGAGAAATCCGCGCGGAGCTCCGAGGTTTTTTATGTTCATGCCATGATTCGTTCCCCCAGTAACGTGTGGCAGGCGGCACGATGTTCTTATCATAATGCTCCTGCGAACGTGGGGCCTGGAGCAGGAGGAGGAGGAGGAGGAGGAGGAGGACTTGAGGATAGTGTACTCGCCGAATGGCACGTGTGGCGGCGGGAGTGGCCACGGCCAAAGAGCTTTCGCCACGCAACTCTCTGCAAGCGTGCTGGCTGGTTCCTGCTGGCGCTCGGGCTGCGTCGAAGAGGAGGGCAGTTTGCGAGAGGAGCCACAAGGCAGTGACATGAGTCAGGGGGGGAAAACACACACAGGCACAAGTCATCGTCGACTCCCAGGAGAATACGGGAAAATATGGGAAGTGGGGGGGGGGGAAGACGAACACCCAGGAAACATTGTAAAACACGGGGACTCCTGGTTCTCTGTGTGTATTTACGTGTGCGTCCCAGGGCCCCCATTCAGTGAGGCTGCCGCGCGCCGGCGCCAGGGCTCCGTCGCCGGCCCCACGGCCGTGGCCGCCCGCGCGGACGACCAGCCCGACGCGTGCCGCGGCGATGACGTTGCGCTGCCGCTTGCGATCCTGCAGGAGGGGAGGAAACGCACACAGACACAAGGCATCATCGAACCCCAGAAGATAGATAGGGGAAATATGGGAAGTGGGGGGGAAAAGACGAAGACCCAGGAAATATGGGGAAGCCGGTCCTTTGTGTGTGTGTGTTTATCTGTGTGTCCCAGGGCCCTCTTATACGCCTCTTCAGCAGAGGCTTCCTGGCAGCAGTGTCAAGTGACGCTCACCACTCACCACACCACCCCAACCCAACCCGAAGGCCTCAATTTGCCCTCCATTTCCAGTGGGGGGGGGGTCGGGGAACATTGCAAAAACACATGGAACCCGTACCCCCCCCCAACCCGAAATTCGGGTCAAATTCGGGTCTTCGGGTTGGGTTGGGGTGGTCTGGTAGGTAGGCAGACGCCGTGCAGGATCGTCGCCGAGGGGCATCGTCAGCGAAACGAGCGCTGCATGGCAGAAATGTGGACTATCCAGGCCGGGGGTGTAAGCTGCGTCGGGTCCCGCAAATCACGGCTTGCTGCGACTGTAACGTAGCAAGCACATCGGTGTGCACGATGGTGGTCTGAGAGTTGATGGATCATTTTGTTTCGGCTGAATATATCCAGGTGGTGCTGTACGATGTTCTGCGAACAATCTAGCCTCCCTGTCTCTCGTCTCTCTCTCTTGCCTCCTCCGCCTCCACCTCCACTTCCTGCAACTTGGCCGCCTACATCTACGTGCACATGGGGGATCGCGGCAGACGGCTTGGCTTCGTAGTGGATCACATAGACGCAATCAGCACCCGACATACGTACGGATCGCGGGGTTTCATTAGGCACCATTGCATCCATGTGTTCCTGTTCTTCTGCCTAGTCCTCATGCTCATCGCCGCTGATTCTTAGGAACAGGAGTTAGGAAAACACTACCCATACGCCTATATGACCACCCTTCGGGTGATGAGGAGGTTGGGGTGCAAAGTAACCAATATAGATCTCACAAGCGATCTCACCGTCGATCTCACAACAGATCTCACTATCGATCTCACAACGGATCTCACTATCGATCTCCCATGCGATCTCATTATCGATCTTGCCGCCCAGCTCCGGAACACTGACTCGCGCCGCCCTGCTCTGGGACGCGGAGCACCGACGGGACACCGACGCGACACCAACGGCACAAACCCGGCCACCACGCGCCCACGCAGCCCGTCTCGCACCCCCACAAGCGACACGGACACGAAACAGAAGCCAATTTCCCGGTGGGGGGGCTCTCAGTTTCACTCGGGGTCCCCCAAACGGGGTGGCGACCACACCGTGTGGTGAGTCGGTGGGGATTCAGGGTCACCGCACGATTTTGGGACTCAAGTCCCTCTCCGAGGATGTCTCGGGCGACAGGGGCCTCCACGGTCCCACGACCGTGCGGTGACGGACCGTTGGGGTTCCGAGGTCACCACACGGTTTTGGGATTCCCATCTCGTCCCTCACCTTCCGACGCATGAGCAAATCTCGAGCACGGTTCCACAGTCGCGCCACACAGGTCGCGAGGAACACCCGATCGGTATCATGTGTGTTGAGCGGATCGTTGCACTGAGCACGGAGTGAAGTACAAGATGAATACAATGGGCTAAGAGAAAATTCGTAGGTATGCTTTACGCAAGGGTGTGCGCTCAATGGCGTCGTACATTCATGTGCAGTCTCAGTGCAGTTGACGAAATCACATGCGTCAGTGTTGTCATTGCTTCTTCTTCTTCTCCTTGCCATGGTCCAGGCCTCTGCGAAGATGCATCTTGCATTGTGCCACTTCGGAACGTTCGGTTCGATTTTTTCGATTGCCCAAATGTGCTAACGGTGGTACTTCCTCCTGCTCCCTCCCCTCCTGTCCTTTTCCCCGCTCCTGCTCTCCCGACTGGTCTTGCTGCCAACCGCGCAGGGGGCAGGAGGAAGGGGAATCTGATATGAGGAGGAAGAGGGAGGAAGGGGAATATGACAGGATGAGGGGGGGATTGAGAGAGGTGGGGGAGAACAGGAGAGTTGGAGGGAGGAGGAGGAGGAGGAGGAGGAGGAGGAGGTGGAGGGAGGAGGAGGTGGAGGGAGGAGGAGGGGGAGGAGGAGGAGGAGGAGGAGGTTCCCACGGGCATTTGTGGTTGCTTGCGTTTGGATGTTGTATTCAGCGCTGTTCCCGCATAGCTAGTGTCGCTAGACCGTCGCACATGTGTGTTTGTTGTTGTGGCATTGCCCACGCCATGTTTTCATACGTTGCGTGTTGGCACTATTGGTATCCACCAACGTGTTCATAATATCACGCTGGTGCGTAGCAGCGGTCGGGAATTCACGAGGACTGCCGATCACAGAAACTGCGACCCGCGTGCGAGTGCCAGCAGCGAAAGAGAGGGAGAGAGAGAGAGAGCAGGTACGACAGAGCCGACATGGTCTACAGGGGTGGCTCCGAGTCTAAGCAGGACAAGCCAGGCTGCCGTGCTCTCTCTGACTCCCGATCCCCACTGCCCAAGACTCCGCGACGGCGACGGCGATTTGGGCCTCGGTCTGGCGAGAGCCCGGTCGTCCGGGTGCGCCAGCTCGAGTAGTAACAGTGCGGAGGTCGGGCGCTCCGCCTGCAGCGCGGGCTCGCCGCCGTCGAGGCCCTCGGTTCGTTCACGCCGCCCATGGGGGCATAGGGCAGCGATCGACTCGTTCTGCAGCACAAGCCTCGACGTTCAGCGCGAGGCTGGTTCGAGCCGCCAGGAGCACGGGCCTTGTCTCAGAGGACCAATATGCGACCGCGATGCTGCGGGAAGTCTTGGGTCTTCGCCGTTTACGTGCGCGCAGCCTGCTGGTGGTTCAGGCCGACCAGGGTGCTCACTGTGCTCACTGTGCTCCTCGAAATGTCCGTTCGGGTCCCTCCGTGGGTCCTCTCTTGGAGCCATCTTCGGGGCCTCTTAGGCCGTCTTGGAATCCTCTTGGTCCGTCTTGGGGCCCTTTCGGGTCGTTTGGGCACTCTCTGAAGCCTCGCGGGCCGTTGGGGGGCGGTCCTGGGGGCCTCTCGGGGCTATCTTGAAACGTTTCGAAAGTTTCCTGGGCCAGTTTGGGGTGATTGTGGGCGTCTTGGTGCGATCTTGGGGCGTCTCGGGGCCCTATTGGACCAAGGGCGCCCTCGAGGGCGCGAAGCTATCCGCGCTTCGCGGTTCGGCCCCGATTCCTCCTCGTTCTCCTCTTCTCCCCTGGGAGGCGGCGCGATTGCGCGACGTTCTTCGCGCTCCGCGCAGCGCGGGAGCGCGACGTTGGGAGCCCCTGTGGACCGTCCTGGGGGCCTCCTGGGGCCCTCCTGGCCCGGCGTGGGGCCCCCTTTGGGCTCCGAGCGAGGCGCGATGGGGAGGCGCGCCGCCGCCCGGGAGGCGACGCACCGAGGCTAGGCCGAGGGTCCGGCCGAGGATCCGAGGGCACGCCTACGCCGTGCCCAGCGGCACGGTGGCGGAGCCTGGGTGCATACACGCATGCAGAAGAGAAGTATGTGTGTGTGTGTGTCTGTGTGTGTATGCATGCATGTGTGTGTATGTGTGCGTGTGTGTATGTCTGTGTGCATGCATGCACGCGGGTATGCATGTGCACATACTTGTACACATGCGCGCAGATGTACGCAGACATGCCTATACGTTAAACCTTCCACCTACTTACACATACACACACATACACAGATATGCGTGGTGGCGTTTCTTGCCCCCGCCCCTCGGCGGAGCCCCGTTGTTCTACGAGCGGCCTGTGTTCTCCTCTCCTCCTGCTCCTGCTCCTCCTCCTGCTCCTCCCCCCTTCCTCCGCACCCCTCTTGGCGGGAGGGAGGAGGCACATAGAGACAGAGAGAGGGGGAGACAGAAGGCGAGAACGAACGAGATGGCGAGATTGCATGTCGTTTGTTTAGCATCGGCAGGCAAGAAGACCAATGGGCGCATTGAGACGGGCACCGCTGCACTGGCGCCAACATAATTTGTTTTAGCGTGCATAAGACTTTTCGTTCTGAGGGGAAATATATCAAACATATTGCTGGCGTGCCAATACGAGCCAACTTGCCGTGCTTCGCGCAGGCACTTTGGCCAGCTCCGCCATGGCACCCAGGGTTGACGCCGCGCGTTCGGTACTCGAACTGCGCAGACCGCACCGCCATGGCAAATGAGCGAGAATTTGGCTTTGTCACCCGATTCAAGCGAATGCGATGTTTCACAAACTTCCAGCAGCTATCGATGGTCTGCGTGCCTGCTTGTGAAAATCAACCCACAACCGCACTCAAACCACATTCCCCCTCGATCACCCTCGGACGAGCGAGCGCAAAATCAACGCAACGGTGCACCGAGCGGCGATCACCACGCATCGCGAGATCTGCAAGGACGCTGCAGCCTCCTGAGACGCGAGAAACAATCCAACCTGCAACCACACCGAAACACACATGCCCCCTCGATTACACTCGCACTGGCGAGCGCGATAACAACGCCACGGCCTACCAACAACGCGACCACGGCGCAAGGCAAGCTTCCGTCATTCCTCTCTCACTTTGCTTTGCCTATTCAGGCCTTCAGAAATTTATGTTTGAAGAAATGCGATTGTCCCCTGCGTCAAAGCACATGCCACAACGCTTCGGAAGGCTAGCCCTTGCAACTCGTCCCTCCTGTTGCCTTACTCAAACCCGGTTCCCACAAACAGAAAAAACGTGCTTGATCAATTGCGAGCGCATCCTGCTTCAAGGCACACCAACAAACTATATGAGTGCGAGATTTGGCCACTCCTCCTTGTCTCATGTGGCTTCTCCTCCTAAGCCCTCTTCGGATGCAGGAGGAGGGGAGGAGAGAAGAGGGAGGAGGAGGAGGAAGAGGGAGGATAAGCAGGACAAACGTGCTACTTCTTTACATTCCATAGCATTCAATGAGAATGTGATAGAGATTACTGATACTTCTATGACGTATTTAAATTCATAAGTTTTCCAAACCATCTGAGGGGCGAGGGAGTTGTGCGAGTCGGGCACGGCTGATGGTTAGGGAAACATCTGAATGTATGGCATTTATTGAAATAGCCATGCATATGTTTAATGGAACTTTTTTATGTAACTTTCTTGAAGTTCATGGAATATTGTAGAAATGGCACCTTTTTCTTGCTTTTCATAGAATCGATCAGCTATTCATTGAGATTTTCTTTGCGAGCGCACTGTGAAGGACGAATTGAACTGATAAAGTGCTCTCTGACACCAAGCTGAGAAACGCCCAACACCGTTCAATTACGAACGCCCGGTCGCACAGTGCGACATAGATGTATTCATATGATGTGGATTAAGATGTATCTGCGGATGGTGCTTCATATGGGTGGGGCAAGGATATCTCTATATCTTCATACAACCACACATACACATCGAATCCCATAGAGTGCTTTTTCTTGGGGGCCCCCGCTTGTCTTCTGAGGAACTGGCCATGCCTGCGGATTGGCCTCGTGGCTCCGTGGTCGCCGTCGCCACCCCGTCGCCGCATCGGCGCCGCTCGTCGCTTGGACCTGCGGGTCGGTCTGGCGGCTTCGTGGCCGCCTGGTCGCCGCCGCGTCGCCGCTCGTCACCTGGGCCGGGGTGCTCGCCTGGCTGCTCTGTGGTCGCCATCGCCGTTTCGCCGCGATTGCACCACATAGATGGCTCCGGATAGACTGCACCGCATCTGTCGATCCCTATCGGTTGCACTGCACGTTTCGCCCCAGAAAACACTGCACAGCACGGATATGCACAGCACGTGTTTCACCATACGCAGTGCACCACATAGGTTTCACCACATATCTTGCACGCGATCGATTGCATAATGTAGCTTGCATCGCATAGATTGCACGTCGTACATCGTCCACCATGTACTGCACACAGTATATGGCACTACACGAGCTGCACCGCATATATTGCACCACGAATATTTTGCACTACAAAGATGGCACCACGTAGATTGCCTCACACCTATTGCACAACATCAGCCCGCACCACATGAATTGCGCCACCTAGGTTGCACAACATCTATTGCTCGGATCACAGTGTGTGCGGTCCTCGCTGGCTGTCATGTGCCGATACGTGTAGAGAGGGAGGAACAGACACAGCAAAACCATACAGTGGAAAAGTAACTATAGGGAGAGAGCAGCAACACCATAGCGAGAGAGAGAGAGAGAAAGAGAGAAAGAGAGAGGTAGAGAACACACAGAAGAAAGGGGCCGCTCTTAGCAGAAGACCTCATCTCCGGCTTCGAGTCCAGAGCCGAGTTGGCGCGGAGGAGGATTTGGGAGATCCCAAAGGAGCGCGGTTGGGGTGGGAGGCGAGAAAAGTGGAGTCAGATTTGTTCATCGAGGGTGTCCGCGAATCGGCTTTTCACTCCTCGTCCCTCCCTCCCTCTCCCCCTCCCTCCTCCCCCCTCGCAGCCTCCGGCTCCCTGCCTTTCCCCCCCTCCTCCTTCGCCCCTGAAGCCTCAACACAACTCGAGCAATTGTCAAGAAACGCAGCAGATACGAGTAGGAACTCCATTACAAATCTACTTCGAACATCCATCCTCCTATTCTTCCCCATGCTCCTCCTCCTCCCGCTCGTCATTCTCTCTGTCCTCGACGTCGTTGGTGTAGCCGTCGCCGTCTCCGCTTTGCGTCGTGGTCGTCGGCTCCGTCCCTGTTTTCGCAGTGGTACTCGTGCGCTCGTTCTCGTTCTCATCCGAAGCTCTCACCGACATTTGACATCCGCAAACCAATCTCCGGCATCTTGGGGGCGCCAGCGATTAATCACCTGCACCGACCGCAGCATGGACCACCCGGGGCCAAGAATTGGCCTGTGTGTGTGTGTCCGCCCTCCCAGCGAGGCCAAGAAGACACAAACAGACATCTCGTATGCACAGGGGGATTTTCGACAAAAAAATACCCCAACAATGCCCCAAGAAGGCCAAACAAGATTCCAAAAATAGTCCCCAGACTATTTTTGGATTCTGTTTGGAATATGTTTTGGGTATTTATTATTTTTCGCCGAAAATCTCCCTGTAGGGGGACGGGCCCGACCTAATCCTTGGCCTGGGATGTGCCGTGGAGGATTGCTGTTGGTGTATATTTTCTTGTGTTTCCACCACGGCATCTGTCGGTATCAGTCTCGGAAGATTTGTTTTGAAATTCCAGAGTAGAATGAGGAGGATATTGGGGAGAGGAGGGCGAGGAAGAGGTGGAATATGCGGGTACAATTGTGAACAGAAGGAGGTTCAGGGTAATCAGAGCGGGGGAAGCACCCGTTGCCATTCTCTGTCCGAGGAGGAAGAGCAGCAGCAGCGTGAGGAGGCAGGTAGAGGAGGAGGGTCTTTTCTCTGCAGGGGTGGCCCTCGTTGCCGAAGCTGGGCACTCCTCGAAGTCGGTCTCAGAACGTGCTTCAGGGCTGTCTGGGAACGGACTGGATGAGAAGGAGGAGGATGAGGAGGAGGCGGAGGGGGAGAAAGTCACGGGGGTCAAGGTTCAGGGGCTGGGCAGTTTGAGGGCGCGGACACGAGAAGGAGGATCAGGAGGAGGAAAAAGCGGAGTAGGAGAAAGTCACGGGGGTCAACGTAAAGGGGTTTGGCAGTCTGGGGGCGCGGACTGGAGGAGGAGGAGGAGAAGGAGGAAGAAGAGGAGGAGGCGGAGGCGGAGGCGGAGGAGGAGGGGAGAAGGTGTTTGGGGTCAACGTGAAGGGGCTGGGCAGTCTGGAGACGCGACTGGAGGACGAGGACAAGGAGGAGGAGGAGGAGGAGGAGGAGGAGGAGGAGGAGGAGGAGGAGGAGGGGGATAAGGTCACTGGGGTCAACGTGAAGGGACTGGGCAGTCGTGGGACACGGACTGGAGGAGGAGGAGGAGGAGCAGGAGGAGGCGGAGGAGGAGGAGGCGGAGGAGAAGGAGGAGGCGGAGGCGGAGGAGGATAAAGCAGCGGGTTAAGCGTTGCGGGGCTGACCCTGATTTGGGGGGAGAAACGCGGGGGCCCACCCCCCCACCCCCACCCCCGCCCCTCCCTGCGCCGACCGGGCTAGTGCTCTGCGGCAGCCCCCGCGCCTGCGAGATGTGGCCCTGGCTGGTCATTGCTTGGTGCGCTCCCCACGGCGAGGGAGTCCTGCCATGCCGCCTGGTGGCGGCCAGGGCCCGCTTCGGCGGGCTGCCCGTTCCGCGGGGTGGCTCGTCGTGCCCTGGCGGCACCGCTTGGGCCCCGTGGGGGCGTGCGGCGTGGCCGCCAGTGTCTCTCTCGGGCCAGCCCACACCCGAAGGAGAGGGAGGCGGCAGGGTGGAGGCCGAGATTCCGCGGCCGGGCTTTACCCATCACCACCGCCTGAGGCAAAAGGAGGAGGAGGAGGAGGAGGAGGAGGAGGAGGAGGAGGAGGAGGAGGAGGAGGAGAGGAGGAAGGGAGGGAAGAGGAGAGGAGGAGGAGAGAGGAAAGGAGGAGGAGGAGGAGGAGGAGGAAAAGTAGGAGGAGGAGGATAGGAGGAGGATGAGAGAGGAGGGGAGGAGGAGGAGGAGGAGGACTGGGCTACCCACCGCTCGCCGTCTCGCAGAGATGATGCGATGATGCGGATTTCCTCCGCGCTACCCTCCTCCTCTTCCTCCCACCCTCCCCTCCTCCTCCTCCTCCTCCTCTCTCCCCCTCCTCATCCGCCTCCTCCTCCTCCTCATCATCATCTTCCTCGCCTCCTCCTCCTCCTCCTCCCCGTCCTCCTCCCCGCCTCCTCCCTCTTGTCCTCCTCGTCCTCCTCCTCCCCCCCTCCTCCTCCTCCTCCTCCTCCTCCTCCTCTCCTCCTCCCTCCCTCCTCCTCGTCCTTGTCCTTCTCCCCCCCTCCTCCTCCTCCTCCTCCTCCTCCGCCTCCTCCTCCTCCTCCTCCTGCTCCTCCTCCTCCTCCCCCTCCTCCTCCTCCTCCTCCTCCTCCTTCTCCTCCTCCTTCTCCTCGTCATTCTTCCTTTCCTTCGTGGCCTTGGACCTCGTTTGCAGCATCCTGCGAGCTTCGGCGCTCGGGCTTCCCTGCCCGTGCCCCAGGTGGGGCCCATCCTTCGGGCCGCTTCTTCTGGCATCACCCTCGCCTCTTCCCCACGCAGCCCCCCGAGGAGACCTTGCCGATGTTGAGGACGAAACGGGAGCTTTGGGAGACAAAGGAGCGCGCCTGGCGCAGCCTTGATTCGGCGGCGGGCGCGAAGTCTCGAACGGAAGGACAAAACTGAATGATCATAATTTTGTGGACGTCCGCGGGGAGATCTTGAATCGGCGCTGAGGCCCCCTGGCAGCGCCTCCAGCGCCGCCCCTGGCGCGCTGCGCGCGCCAGGGGTGCGGTCCAGCGCAGATCCAAGAAATCCACGCAGACCTCCGAGAGTCGTCGTTGTCGTCGGCGTCGTCGATGTCGTCGTCGTCGTTGTCGTCGTCGATGTCGGTGTCGTCGTCGTCGTCGTCGTCGTCGTCGTCGTCGTCGTCGTCGTCGTCGTCGTTGTCGCCGTCGTCGTCGTCGTTGTCCGACGTCCGACGTCGTCATTGTCATTATCGTCGTGACCGTCGTCATCGTCGTGACCGTCGTCGTCGTCGTCGCCCTCGTCGTCGTCGTCGTCGTCGTTGTCGTCGTCGTCGTCGTCGTCCGACGTCGTCGTTGTCGTCATCGTCGTGACCTTCGTCATCGTCGTGACCGTCGTCGTCGTCGCCCTCGTCGTCGTCGTCGTCGTCGTCGTCGTCGTCGTCAATGCCGTGTTGAAACAATACAGATAAGGTCCGTACAGCGCGTTTCGGCGTCGGGGAAGCCGTTTTCGGTCCCTGGGGCCGTCAGGAAACGATGCCAGTGTTCCGCCCCGCGGGGCGGAAAGCCGGTCCCCAGGAGGGGGCCGGGAGCTCCCGGCTCTCACGAAGCCACGACGCTGAATGTTTCCGAGCCTTTGAGAAGGTCCTCTCCTTCTCACCTTCCCCCAGGGCTCGCCGCCGATAAGCAGTGTTTTGACGATTTCGTGTGCCGTTTTCGCTTCGATGTCGTTTCGATGTCGTTTTGCAGCAGGGGCGGATTAAAGACAACACGAGGGAAAACGAAGAAGGCGAAGCGAAGAAAAAGAACACTGGTTAGGCCGATCCCTCTCCGCCTCCTTCCCGCCCATGCCTTCGGATGCAACTCCTAGGAGGCTACATTCTGACTCGTCCCTGGTCCGAAATCCGGCTTAATCCCGCGCAACATGTCCTAATCTTGTTGAGTCCGGACTATATTCCGATTCATCCGCGGCCTAATCCAGCGTAACAGATCCCCAGTGCCCCTGTAACCGTTGCACTTCAGCCGCCTGGTGCACCTGGCACCTCTTGCAGCTCTGCCTTATGTCCCCGGCGTCGCTCCTCGGCGGCAGTTTCGGCGGCCGTTGGTTCGCGTGCTTAGGTAATTAGGTTTGGCTCGTTGCCCGGGCTGACTTCGGACGCCGCCTGCGCTTCCGCTTGCGGTCGCGACGGAAAAGTATCCCCACCAGCCCATCGAGACGCGATGCCCATGAGAGTTGACTGGGGGAGAGAGAGGAAGAGGCACGCATAGTGAAACAGCGAGGGAGGCTTGGGAGGCTCCGTGGCCATCTCGAGCCGTCTTGGAGCGGTCTTGGGGCCGCTTGGAGCATCTTCAGAGCCATCTTGAGCCAGCTTCGGCGATCTGAGGAATCTTGGAGGTCATCTTGGGCTCTCTGAGGCCGCTCGGGGGCCTCTTGGGTGCCTCCTGGAGCCCTCTTGGGGCCTCTTGCGGCGCTCTTGGAGCCCTCTTGGGGGCCTTTTGGGAGGCCTGGAGCGCCTCTTGGGGCCATCTTGGAGGCGGTCGGTCAAAGAGGGTGGGCGGGGATACTAAATGTCGGTCCCCTCGAAGGGGCCGAAAAAGGTCCCTCCGACACCTCGCGATCCCTCCAAGAAAAACCTCAGGGATGGGAGGGGGAAGGTTCCCCTCCCCGAAGGGCAGTGGCCTTGTGGAAGAGGCAAGAGACCCTCCTCAGACCACCTGTCGCCCAAAGGGCTGCTGGGATTCCCCCGAATCCTTCCGACGAATACCTCCCAGTAGTCCCAGACTCCCGACGTCATGATTTTTTCATTACGTCGACCCCAGAGTTCTCGACCCATTCCCCAGGACCAGTGTGTCATCCTGAGTCGTTTTTGTTACGGCCCCGAGGCCCGGTGAGGATTCCCAGAGGCCGAAAATGGCGAACAACTTCCTGTCATGATGTTCTCATTCAAGGGCGCCCCCGAGGGCGCGAAGTTGTTCGCGCTTCGCGCTTCGCGGTTCGGCTCCGATTCCTCCTCATCCTCCCCTCCCCTGGGAGGCGGCGCGAGAGCGCGAAGTTATTCGCACTTCGCGCTGCGCGCAGCGCGAAGCGCGAAGTTGGGAGCCCTTGCTCATCACTCGAGGGGGTCTGGGGCTGCCTCCTGACGTCCCTCCCTCCCTCAATCCCCCTTCGCCCTCCTTCCCTCCCTCCTCCATCCCTCCTCCCTCCTCCCTCCTCCCTCCTCCTCCCTCCTTCCCTCGTCCCTCCCCCCTTCCTGGGGCTGCCTCCGAACATCCCTCCCTCCCTCCATCCCCCCTTCGCCCTCCTCCTCCCTCCCCCTTCGGCCTTCGACCTGCGGACCGCTCGGTTCGGCGGGCCTCCCTCTTCCTTTTTCTCCTCCTCCTCCTCGAGGAGGAGGAGGAGGAGGAGGAGGAGGAGGAGGAGGAGGAGGAGGAGGGAGGGGGGAGGAGGAGGAGGAGGAGGAGAGGAGGAGGGAGGAGGAGGAAAGGAGGAAAAGGAGGAGGAGGAGGAGGAGGAGGGAGGAGGAGGAGGAGGAGGAGGAGGAGGAGAGGAGGAGGACGTGGAGGAGGAGCTCCTCCTTGCCAATCCTTCCCTTGCCCGCCCCCCTCACCCCTCCCTCCTGGGCCCCCTCTTCATTGTATCTCCATCCGCGTCTGCATCGTCTTCATCTTCCTCCCCCCACCGATCCACCCCCCCTGCAATCGAACGCTGTCGTGCCTCGCTGAAGGACAACTTCAAGCGGGTCACCGACCTTGTGGTGTGCAAGTCGAAGGACGCCGAGAAAGCCCTTCGCAACGCGCGGAGGGAGCTGGCATCGTCGACCGTATCAGTGGCGCCTCCTTTCGCAAGTGCACCTTTGGAAGAATTTTCAGCATGCAGAGGGGTCCTGAAGGAACAGGGTCCTGGTGATCTCCGCCGTTCTCCACCTCCTGGGGCCACTCCAGGGCACCATGGGTCGTCGAACAGTGCTTCTGGATGAGGAGCCGGCGCTGGGGAGAGCCCCAGGGTTTGGGACCCGTTTCTTCGACGCAAGACCCTGTTCGTTCATGGCAAGGATAGGCAGAAGAGGATGGCGAGGACCGGGGAGTGCCAGGAGCAAGCTCTCCATGCGATGCAGGCTTGGGACGTCGCTCGGTGGGCGGGAGGCTGGCTGCTGGGCGTCCGGTCGTCAGGAATTCCATTCACGGGTGGGGCAGCTCCGGATTGCAAAGCAAGGGCTCCCTTGAGGGTGCGAAGTTATTCGCGCTTCGCGGTCTGGACGACGTCAGAGTGAGGCGCGAAGTTATTCGCGCTTCGCGGTCTGAGCCTACGACGGTTTCCAGAGCGAAGGTAGACGCGCCTCGCATCCTTGGGGCTAGGCCATTGAGGGATTGCATCGCGGGATTAGCGGTCTCGGCGTCGTCAGCGCGAGGCGCGAAGTTGTTCGCGCTTCGCGCGGGGCCCGTAGAGTTTGGATAAGGTTTTCGTAGGAGGCCAGTGAGTTAGGATAAGGGTTCCGGAGGGAGACCCAGGGGGTAGGATAAGGTTTTCGAGCGGAGCCCACGGAATTCGGAGTAGGTTTTCGCGCGGAACCCTAATTGCGTTGCGACGTGTTTTGCATTGCGCTGCATTGCTTTGCGTTGCTTTGCATTGCCTTGCATCACTTTGCATCGCGAAAAACATAATCCGAATTCCTTGGGTTCCGCGCGAAATGATCCCAACTCCGGGGTCCCCCTACGAAAACCGTTGTCCTAACTCACTGCCCCGTACGAACAAACACATCCAAACTACATTCGCTCCGCGCGAAAACCTAATCCGAATTCCTTGGGCTCCGCACGAAAGCCTTATCCTCATTCCCGGGCCCCCCCTACGAAACCGTATCCTCACTCATGGGTCCCAATACGATAACGCGTATCCGAACTCCATGGGCTCCGCGCGAAAATCAAATCAGATTTTTTCTGGCATTTCCCCGAATGCCCTACCCTAACGCCCGGCCCCCCTACGAAAACCTTATCCGAACTCGCCGGCCGCCCTACGAAAACCATTTCCGAACTCCATGGACTCCGCGCGAATACCTAATCCCAATTCCCTGGGCTCCGCCCGAAAACCTTATCCTAACTACCAGGCCTCTCTACGAAAACCTGATCCTAACCCACTGGCTTCCTACGAAAGCCATATCCGAACTCCATGGGCTCCGCGCGAAGACCTAATTGGAATGCCCAGGGCTCCGCCAGAAAGCCTACGAACTCTATGGGCTCCGCGTGGAACCTAATCCGAATTCCTGAGGCCTGAGGCCCCGCCCGAAAACCTTTGCCTGACTCCCAGCCCCCCTACGAAATCCTTATCCAACCTTACTGTCCCCCTGCGAAAAAAACAGATCCGAACTCCATGGGCTCCGCGCGAAAACCTAATCAGAATTCCTTGGGCTCCGCCCGAAAACCCGATCCTGACTCCCAGCCCCCCCACGCAATCCTTATCCTATCCCACTGGCCCCCCTACGAAAACCATATCCGAACTCCATGGACTCCGCGCGAAAACCCTATCCGAATTCCTTGGGCTCCGCCCGAAAACCTTATCCTGACTCCCGCCCCCCTACAAAAACCTTATCCTAACCCGCTGGCCGCCCTACGAAAACCATATCCGAACTCCATGGGCTCTGCGCGAACACCTATTCCGCATTCCTTGGGCTCCGCCCGAAAACCTTATCCTCACTCCCCCCCCCCCCCCACGAACACCTTATCCTAACCCACTGGCCCCCCCTACGGACACCAGATCCGAACTCCATGGGCTCCGCGCGAAATCCAAATCCGAATTCCTTGGGCTCCGCGCGAAAGCCTTATCCTGACTCCCAGCCCCTCCTCTTCCTCCTCCTCCTCCTCCTCCTCCTCCGCCCCCCCCCCTCTCGGATGGCCGCTGGCTGCTCAAGCACGAAGCAAGGCCCTCGAAGGTCGGCGGCCCCCTCGCGCGCGCTCCGCCCGCCCCTCCCAGCACAAGAAGTGGGTCATCGACCACCTCCGCGCCCCGAACTTCGGCAGGGACGTGCTGCACCAGATGAACCGCGGAGGCGCCCTGCCCGACTGGGGCACGGCCAGGGCGCTGGAGCTCACCACCCACCAAACCACCCCAAAACCCAACCCGAGGGCCTCCATCTGCTTCCGTTTCCAGTAGGGGGGGGGGGTCGGGCAGCACTGAGAAAACACAGATGGAACCCACATTCGGGTCTTCGGGTTGGGTTGGGGTGGTCTGGTGGATAGCCAGGAACAAGTGGCACGCGTCTGTAAGGCCTCGGTGGGCGCACAGACCCCCCCCCAGGTACAATAGGGGCCCACGCCAAGGAACACCCTGCTTGCCTCCAGGGTTCCCTGGGTTTCTTGGGTTTCGCGGGTTATGCGATGGAAAGCGTGACGCTCCTATACCAAGCATCGATTGACGTCCTGGGGTCTCAGGGTTGGATTTCTTGTGGAAGGTTTCTTGTGGGCTGGCCTCCACTGTACACTCGAGGCTCATTGGTAGGTCGGCCTTGCCGGATCAAGGGTGCCGTCGTTTCTTGTGGTTAGCGACCCATGTCCTCGTTAAGTTTCTGTGGCGCCGTGGCCTTCGGGAGGGTCTCTGTCCTCTCGCGTGCCCTCTCCAATCCCGAAGAAAACAACAGGTACCGATACCGCTACTCCCCGGACCTCTCCTGGGGTGCGTTCCGACCAGGATTTCGAGACGAATCCAGCGGTGGCGACGAGGAATACCCTGGAGGCCCCAAAAGGGGGAAACGGCCGAAGGGTAGAGGTATGGGTACAGTGCCGTTTTTAATACATGCTCCGCGTGCGGATCATGTATGACAAATGCAGGGATTTAGTATGAAAACAACGAGGAGTTCATGCACAAATGCATTCATACATTAATCATGTATCAAACATCCTATGGGTTTTAAAATTCTATGTATTAAAAACTGCCCTGACGGGTAGACGTATGGGTACATATTTCCCAGTCCCGGCGGGCCCCCGGCAGGCCCCCCCGAGGAGGAGCCGCTCGGGGGCGGCAAAGAGGGGGGGGATGACTAGGGCGGGGTGGATATCATGACGGGGGCCATGATACTTCCCCAGATTTCATGGCGCCCCTCCTTGTTTCATTACGTCCCTGGCCCCCCCGCTGGGCCGCGCACATGCCGCCGGCCATGATTTGCACCCCCCCCTCTTGGACGCCCCCCTCTTGGCCGCTCCCGACCTATGTGCCAATCCATCCGGGGCGCTCCCGGGATTGGGCTGAAGAGCTCCGCCGCCAGAAAAGGCCCCCAAAAAGGCTCCCCAAACCACCCTCGAGCAGCCCTTGGCCGCTCCCGAGTCGCGGCTGGCCTGCGCGGGCCCCTCCGAGCCTCCGAGCAGCCCGGGGGCAGGCTCGAGAGAGAGCCAGGCGCCGCCCGGGCCTGCGGCGGAGCGCCCGCCGGGCGCTCCGCGCCCCAGGGGTGCAGGGCTCGCTTCGATTCCTCCCTCCTCCACTCCTCCTCCCTCCTCCTCCCTCTTCCTCACTCCTCCTGCCTCCTCCTCCCTCCTCCTCCTCCCTCCTCCTCCTCCTCCCCCTCCTCCTCCCTCCTCCTCCCTCCTCCTCACTCCTCCTCCTCTTCCTCCCTCCTCCTCCCCCCTCCTCCTCCCTTCTCCCCCTCCCCTCCCTCTTCCTCCCTCCTCTCCCTCCTCCTCCCTCTTCCTCCCTCCCCTCCTCCTCATCCTCCTCCCTCCTCCTCCTCCCTCCTCCTCCTCCCTCCTCCCTCCTCTCCTCCCTCCTCTCCTCCCTCCTCCTTCCTTCCTTCTCCTCCTCCTCCTCCTCCTCCTCCCTCCTCCTCCTCCTCTCCTCCTCCTCCTCCTCTCTCCCTCCTCTCCTCCCTCCTCCTCCCTCCTCCTCCTCCTCCTCTCCTCCTCCTCCTCCTCCTCCTCCTCCTCCTTCTCGTCGGGTTGCCTACGGCCCCGGGGGAAACCGATTCCTCCGATTCGATCTGATTCGATGCCGATGGAGTCCGGCTCCGGTTCGATGCGGCTTCGGGCCCCGGTTTCCAGAGGAGGGCAGGGTGCCCGCACCTCTGCCCTTGGCCCGTGTTCTCTCCCTGTGTTCGGCCTCTTCGGAGGCCCTCGTCGCCACCGCTGGGTTCGCCTCGAAATCCTAGTCAGAACTAGGGGAACAAAAAGTGACATAAACGTAACAACTCGGAGTTCCGCGCGGATTTCTCGGATCGGCGCTGGGGTCCCCCGGCGGCGCCTCTGGCGCCGCCCCTGGCGCGCTCCGCGCGCCAGGGAGGGGGGTCCAGCGCCGATCCGAGAAATCCGCGCGGACCTCCGAGTTTTTTGATGTTTATGTCACTGTTTGTTCCTTTACTGACATGAACAAACCATGGTGCACCACACGAATAAAATTGAGCGCAGTATGTCTTGATTTTGTGTTGGTGCGTTGTCTCGACACGTTGATTTTTGTGTTCGTGCGTTGAGGTTTCCATTGTGCGTGGACGTGCTGTACGGCGCACAGTGGAAGCCGCGTGCTGACCAAATCGTTGATATAATGTCATCATCATTTCAGATGTTGGGCAATTCGTTGTGGTATTCGTTAGCTTCTCCAGGATGAGTTATGGAAATCGTTGATTTCGCCATGGTGAGTTGTCGAAGTTGTTGGGTCCTTATTTGACGTGTCGATGCGATCGTCGGTGCATGTCGGCGCTCGCATTCACAGCGATTTCGACAGGGCGGTGGTGCAATTTCAACGCATCTCCCAACGCAGCACGAGGCGAATGACGAAGTTCTCCCACCAGCGTTCTGGGAAGCCTCCAGCGTTCTCACATTCTGAGAAGCCTCCAGCGTTCCGAAAAGCCTCCAGCGGACCCCAACGTAATAGACCCTCTCCGTCTGAAAAGTGCCCACCGTTCTGAGAAACCTTAGGCCTGAGAGGGCCCGGGTCTCCAACAGCCCCTCAACAATTCTAAGAGTATTCGCCCCTTTTCGGCCCAAAACATAACATTTTCATCGGCCCGAACCACGCACCAGGCTTTTTAGTCCGTGCGCCATGGACAATGGGTTGGGGACATTGCGTTCTCCTGGAATCGGACCCGGACAGCTCCGATGGTGGCGCGGATGCTGGCGCTGTTGTTGCTGCGTCTGCTGCGCCACCAGCACTGCCACTGCCGGCGCCAGCAGCACCGCCAGCGCCAACGCCAGCACCAACGCCAGCACCAGCGCCGAAGAGACGAGGGCGCCCGTCAGGCGCTGTGCCCGGGACTCCGCCCCTCATCCTTGCCCCTTTGACTTTGACAGCACCGCCAAGGGGAAGTGGGGCGGAGGGGGCTGTGGTGGGACAAGGGACAACGAACACGGACACAGGATTCCTGTTTCCCCGTCCCTCCGCCGCCCCTTTCCGCTTCCCCTCCCCCTCCCCTCCGCCTCCCCGGGGCCCCCGCTGCCCCCAGGCAGCACGTCGGCATCGAAGGAGGCCCGAGCTTTTTCCGCTCCGGCCGCGCCCCCTGCAAGGAGGCAGAGGACAGCGAGTGGTAGATTCGCGGCTGCCAGGGCGCCTGTCCTCGCGGCAGTGGCCGCGCCGGAGGCGGACGCGGAGGCCAGCTCAGCGCTGGCGTTCGATGACCTCGTGGCGCTCAGCCGCGCCGAACACCACAGCGCGAGGCCCCGTCGCCTTGGGGGGGTGAGGGAGGAGGAGGAACAGGAGCCCAGGGAACAGCAGACTAGGGCCAGGGGCCAGGGGGGAGACGAGGCGACGAACGACGACGACGATGATGACGATGACGACGACGCGCGACGTGACGAACGAGGAACGACGAAGGACGAACGACGACGACGGACGACGAACGACAGGCGACAAACGCTGGACGACGGACGACGAACGATGGACGACGGACGACGGACGAAAGTCGATAGACGACGGACGACCGGCGACGACGACGACGACGACGACGACGGACGACGACCGCGACGGACGACGACGACGACGACGACGACAACGACGACAACGACTACGACCACGACGACGACGACGACGACGGACGACGATGACGAGGGGCTCAAGGCCCTTCGCACGACGCCGAGCCGAGGTGGGAACCGTCCTGGGAACCTCGAAGCTCGAGGTTTTCTGGCCCTCAAGGGCCCCCCTCCATTGTGCGTTTGGACCCTGGGTCCAGGGGCCCATTTTGAATGGATTTGGGCTTCCTTCCCCTCCTCGTCCTCCCCGTCCTTGCCCTCCCCATCAGCCCTGAACCCTCCTCTCGTCGCACTGCCCGGCCCCCCATCCCCTCCCCCTCCTGCCTCCCCCTTCCGTGCCCCCTCCCCTCCACGCTCCACGCTCCATTTCCTGCCCCTCCGCCCATCGAGGCCGAGGCCCGAGTATGTCGTCGCCGCTGACGTCACTCGACTTGCGGACGGACTCCTAGATTCTATGCGTCGCCAGCGGCCGAACACGTTAACCGCGTATGTTGCTCCGAGGAAAGTTCCAGTCGTTCGAGGTTTTCTGGAAAGCTGGTCCCCCCTCTCGAGCATGATGGCAGAGACAGTTGCAGCGGGCTTCAAGAATCGGTCCCTCATTCCCAGAGCTTCTATTCAAGCGGCAGCAGCTATCTTATTACAGCAGCGCGCTGCGCTCGACAGCGCCATCCGGGTCCTCGACTCCTTGGTCAGGCTCCAAGTGTTGGAACACAGGCGCTGGCCCCCGCCATTTGTCACGCCCCCAGGGAGATGGAGTAGGGGCGCGGCTCCGAGCGAGGAAGGAGGACGACGGCCCTGAGGGCCAGAGGCCCTGAAGAGGGGACAGGTGGGACCAGGTAGAAAGCAGAAGGGCGAGGGGACAGAAGATAAAGGGAGCCGGAGAGAGTGGAGAGAGGAGAGAGGAGAGAGGAGAGAGAGAGGAGAGAGGAGGGCCCTGAGGGGGGATACGGATAAAAGAGAACCGTGCCGCGCGCTTTCGGGCCCCGTCCCCGGGGCGGCGCATTATGTATTTCGAAAGCGTCATGTTCGATGAGAGCCCCCTTCTCCTCCGCAGTGCCGGTGCCAAGGGCCGACAAACGGACGCGGGGCTTCCAATTGAACCGCCGC